TAATTTGTTACTTGTATGTTAGTTTAGCATATCTGTCAGTTAAATATATCGTTCGATTATATTATTTACATTTACATCTCCCAAGAAACGCTAATCTAAATTATTTTAACCAATCTAATTATTTTAACTAATTTAATTATTTTATATTAATATTATATTTTATATGAATATTACATATTATATTGAAACTTTTAATTATGATTCCAGCTGTTTTTTACTTCAATTAAATTAATTGAATGATAATTTAATATTTGATAAACATATTTTTGTCAAGATAGCCGACAGTAAATTAAAATATATTTTATTGTTATAAGAGTATTCCGATTAAGATTCAATCATTGTCCGATGTTGATGCAGATGCGTGTTTATTTGCTGCGTCAGGGTCAAAATCAGAGAGAGAAAAAGAGAGAGAGAAATAATACTGGCATTAATATTTCATTATTTTACTTGTCAGATTGTAATTATATGTATATATGTGAATGTAGTGATGGAAATTATTTTTTATGCAATTTAAAAAAATAAAGCGAATCTTTTTTTTATTTTTCTTCCTCTCTCCATTTTTATTTAAATATTTGCTATTTCTACTAATATATATTAGGTCGCTTTTTTATCGCTTACAAAATATAATAACGATGCATTAGAGTTAGATTTGCAGAAAGGAAATTAACATAGCAACTTCAGATTTAAGATATTCGGATTGCCGAGGATTTCTCTAAATTAGCAATCGTCGAGCATTTTGGGCCGAGCAAAATACACTAATTCCACGACGAAACATAGCGTTATACACGCTCTCGGAGACCTTCGCGTGAGAACACGCATTTCAGTTGATTCCAAGGATGGAACTCGCTCGCTTTGAAGTTAATTAACGTAGGAATCGTAAAAACGGCTTTTGAGGTCACACCGATTTACAACACAGCTGTGCATATCGTGAGACAATTATGAAGAAAAAGCTAAATAGCTATAATTAATCATAGCAAAATAAAGTCATGGCGAAAGTTTTGTCGGTGGGAAAACTAGCGAGCTTGATGAAGTAACCTGATAATATAATGATATAGATTAAACCTTCGGGGGAAAATTAAGAAGATTTTTTTATTGCAGTGTAAATATTGCGTAAATAATTCGATCGATGACGCGTGCAATTATCAAACTCTGGAGATGATACTTTGAAATCATGATCGCGACTATACTACCCGCGAAACTGATTTAAACATGCGAGAACGCTATTTTCCGCTCTAATTTCTCGTACACACCCAACGATAGCGTGCACGACTGAAAGGGGGCGTGGAGAAACTATATAATATATAGAATCATAGCACACATTTATTCACGCACATTTATAATCAGGATATTACAATTAATCAAATCAGAAAGTTAAATCATGGCTAAACTCGCTGCGTCGCAAAAACATTTTGCTAATCGCGTTAATAAAGGAAGTCAGCATTCATCATTTCTTTGACAGGAATGACTCATTCTTTTTTGTATCAATGCGTGCACAAACTTGCGATGGAAGAAAATACTTTCGCAAACAATCTCTTTGAAATAGCTTTGTCAGAAGAAGAAACTATATACATATTTGAAATAAATATTGCATTCATTTGCATTTTTATTGCAAAAAGTACCAGAACAGACAATAATTTGCGATAACGAAGACGCGGTTTTAGAACAGGTATATGAAGGAAGTATCGAGCTTCTCCGTAATTGCGCGTCTATTTCATCCGAAAACAAATTATCGTCACTGCAGACGCGCCATTTCCACTGGAAATGTCACCGGAACGCTAACGACATGCCGCGCGCAAATTATTGACATGCGAGCGAATAAATGCAGTCAGATATTTATTTTTCTGATTGAGAAAATTGCGCTAATGGCTTTTTCATAGGCTGCCCGTACGAACGTATCGAATTCTGAAAAGCGATACAGTCTTGATTAATATTTCAATTGAATTGAATTTATTCACTTGTATGCGTGTATGCTCTCGAAAAGATGGATCCTTCGAAAAACAATAATAAGAAAGAGAGAGAAATATACATTAAGAAATGAGTATACCTTCTTTGTGTATACATATAAATACATTCATTTCTGTTTCTAATACGAAAATCGGCGTTTGAAATGTTTAAATAGTTTTCCTTTTTCTCTTTATCTGTGAAAAGGAACAGCGCACCATTACGTGCATTTAATTCTATTTGTATTACAAAATCACTCTGTCAACACGGCCGTTGAGAGAATCGATGTCAGGGTTACTTCGCTGTAAATGTCGATAAATCTACCGCGCGCGCAGCTCGGCTGATCGCATCCGGCGATAAAATTCAGCCCCTTGCGACACGCGGAACGCGAAATAACCGCGATAAATATCGGTGCAGGATCCATCGATCTTACTGACGGGTTCTAGCTGTTTTCGTCGCCGCGATAACTCCGTTCGCCGTTGCTAATAGTTTCATCTTCGAGAGCCGATCGCGTTACGTAGTTGGATTTATATGGACCGCTCAAATTTTTTCACGTGGTGCGTGGGAAATTTGTCAGAGTTAAAAATTTTGACTTTTTTTCACGACAGTTATTATTAATTCAAAACCCTTAAAGGATCACATATCGGTCATTTTGACTTTTTCGATATTTTAACAATAAAATATCCCAAAAGTCTTAATCAATAAAAAAAAAATGTTTAAAATTTATTTTTTAACTTTTATTGTTTATGATTATTTTCTACAGAGATGTCAAGGAATATATATAAATTTTTGTAGATTTTTTTCAAGTATTTTGGAATAGCTAAAACTGCGACAAGACATTAAGATCCAGATCAAGAACAAGGCAAAAAAAATGTGACCTACAAGGGTTAATTCTCTAAATAATTTCAGTTCGAGAAGGTCTCAATGATTTTGCGAATTTAAAATCAAAAATACACGAGTCTTTATCGTCGTACGATAAATACCGCATCTTCATTTGCCTGAATGATGAACTTGACTTGTTCGCAACTTTGCTCATGCATACAAATCGCCGAACAGAGAGATGAGCGAGGACCGTTTTCGCGAGACGAGAGCTCGCGAAAGGGGGTCGGACAAAGGAGGATCGTTTCTCTTTGTCTATCGACGAGTTGCTCTTGCTCTGCCTCACGAGACTTTCCTGTCGCGTTGACGTCGTTTCGGCCATTCGCCGTTTTGTATCGAACATGTTGGACGCTTTCCAAACGCGGACATTATCCGCGTCCTCGTCTCTAACACGCCGGAAGTCCTGGAAGAGAGGGGCGGAGAGAGTGGTGCGGCGGCTCGTCATCATGACATTCTTGCAGATGCAACCGTGATGTTGACGATCCACCGACCGTGTAAACTTTCCAGCGAATTAAACGCCGCTCTGTCTGTTTCTCTTTCTCTCTCTCTCTCTCTCTCTCTCTCCCCCTCGTCAACAATATTCAACCCTTCCGCATTTGCTACGCTCCCGAGTTTTTATGTTCAATTAGCGGGGACCTATTTTATCAAGAGCGCTGACTAATTTGTGTTAAATCTTTTGGCACATTAGGCGCGGAATTAATTAATTAAATCCGAATGATGGTAATTAAACTGCGCGGTATCTCGCGAAACTGCGGGCGAATCGAGGCGCGAAATAAAGTAGATTTGTCAAGTGAAACTATAATTCAGAGAAAAATTCTACAGCGCGGTAAAATTCAAAATTCCACAACGTTTAATTATTCCGTTTAACACGCTGTCACTATTTTTAATTTCAACGTGAATATGTAACTTAGCCATTGCTACGCAGGTGTGTTCGAGCCGATTCTAATTTGATTTGTTGCAACAGGCATTCTCTCAGTTTCCTTATAATTTAAGCTATATTCGAAAATAGAGATATAATACTTTTTTCCAAGATTACATTTGTATATTTAACAAATAAGAGAGAGAGAGAGAGAGAGAAGAGGAACAATTAATTTAATGAAGCGACCAATTGTATAGTTGCGGTGGCGGACAAATGACTCCCGCGGGCGCCGGAGGATCATTGTATTATGCAAAGCACTCGAACACGGTGTTCATAATTGGCTGTTTGTACGTTAGTTTACCAGAACGTATGCAGCTAACACATATACATATCCCGTTAAATAATTACCCCCGGATCGAACTTAATCGCGTTACGATAACATACTGCCTGCGAATTGGGAGCGGTGGAGCCGAAAAAAGACACCAGGGACTACCCAGAGATCGAACACGCATTTATCTTGTCTACGGAGAAAAAGGACGTTTTAACAAAATAACGACAATAATAATATATTCGCACGATTAATATGCGCACGCCCGTGTGCACGCATGCATGCACGCATGCACGCACGAACACGCGTCAGCCACGTGTCGTGCCGCCGCGGGTTGAGGTTGTTTATCGATTGGCAAGTCTGACCTAACACTGACACACTTCACTCGCGGTGGTCTGACCTCCGTTCCGTATATCGCGCGATATCGACCACCCCCATAACCTTAGGATTTATACAATTTCTCGTCGACCGCCACGCTGCCATTTGCAAGCGTGCTGAGTTACCCGCGAACCACCTTCCGGATTAACGTCACTTCCCGGTAACAGGGATAACGAGCTGCCCACCATCGCGCGCTACAATTTCCTGGCCGAGCTAATGGAAGACGACCGCTTCGTTTTTCAGTGCTCCGGAGTATCCGAGATATTCCGCGTTCCGGAAATATTGTATCGCGGATCCTCTCTAACAACTTAACGTTTCTCTCTCTCTCTCTCGCTTGAATCTTTCATGAACTTACGGGGGTAACCTAAGTTCCGCTGAGCTACCGTAAAAAGCTTATCTCTAATGAAGTCTCCGCAATTATGATAAAAAGAATTGTCACGGGAAAAGGAGAGATTAATCTTTAAAAAATTTATAAATCTCTGAGATATCATCTCTTTTTAATTCATTTTCTTTACTTCATTTGTTTAAACTCATTAAAATTATACGGCAAATATGATTAATTATAGACAAGTCTCAAAAAGTCTCATGAATTATTCCAATTTATGTGACTTCCAGCCCGTTAACATGTGGCTCGCCCACGATGATGGAATCTTGGGGTCTTGGGAGGACCGGCACGCCACCGCCGGGTCTGCCGCCCCCATTGTCGGCGGGGAGCAACAACAATGGTGGCGCAACAACATCGGCGATTATCCCGAGTGTCATACCGCAGCCCGGCACAACCGCTCCCATCGCCAGTCCCGAGGGAGTGAGCGATGTAAGTAAAAAGAAAAATGCATTTATACCAGCGAGAGCAGTTCGCTACCGCGAGCACGCGATCGTCCGAGGACCCATCAACATCGGGATCAATTAACGGCGGTAATTAAAAACGTCATTGGTAATACATACGAGCGTGAGCGATATTGCAATTACGATGCGCGTTTAATTCTCACATGTCCTTAGAAAATAAAATAATCGTAAATCATCGAGCGTAAAATATAGCCGCGTAGAATTATTACGCTAATGATTCCGTTTAATGGGATTGACTATTTGGGACTTTGACTATGGGAATATTTTTTTATCGGGAAAAAAGAGAGGGGAAATTCCCATCCCCGCGGAATTTCGGCCGTTTTAATCGCGTTTCCCGCGATACGTACTATGTGTCCGTAATTGAAATGCGCGTTTAGCATGCACGTGGCGGCGATAGCCCCCGAAATTCCGAGACCAAGTAAGTTTTGCCGCGACCGACATGTATAGGTAGCTACAGAACGGGCAAAGGTTATCGCACGGCCATACGCGGGTTAATGGCGCATGCATGAGCCCGCTGCTGTACAATCCGACCACATGTTAAGTTCTCGTACATCGGCGGCGAGCGATGAATCTCTGTCTCTCTCTCTCTCTCTCTCTCTCTCGCACCTACCCACCCACCTATCTCTTTCGTTCGTTTCAATTTCACGAGCATGCCCGTCGACTGGACGTAATGGACGCCGACCCTGCTATCGAACCGAGCTAATAGGATCAGCCGTACGTGCCCGACACAGTGACCCGAGATTCCTCGAATTTTAAGGACACTGGCTGTCGCACTGCCGATGTAAGACTGCGGAAAAATCCCTTTTTCCTGTAAATTCTGAAACGTCGATGAGAAGGAAATCGAAAAAGAAAAAGCATACTTTGGGCATTAATTAATTTTAATAAACAATATCTCGATCCGTCTTCATATTTCTTAATAAGCACGAGATTTGTTTGTAATTAGCTATTGTTATAAATATAGGGGATTTAATTATAGTTGATCGAACACGATCGCGTTGTGCTTTCAGGTCTCGCAAAAGTCGGGAATCTGGGAGGGCGCAAATTCGTCGTCGGGGGGCGCCGCGGAGGGCCCCTCGCGGAGTGTTTCTCACGCAGCGAGTTTGGACGCGATCTCGAAGAGAGCCGTGAAACCGGAAACGGCGAGGGCGCCTTGTCGCAGCCTCACCTGCAGCGTCTGTAAGTGCACAATGATTTTCTCGCTCATATATCGTTTTTATACTCTATTCTTCGTGTCCCGAATTGTCTGACCTGGTATTAGTATTTTCTGTGAAACGATAGTTTATTTTACATATATACATATACATATGTGTGTATATATATATATGTATATATTATATATATGTGTGTGTGTGTGTGTGTTCTCTGACGATATATTCGTTTCCCCAGCTGCATTGCTGCATTTCAATCGTGACCGGTAGAATGCAGTTTATTTTCCTGAAAATAGCGAGAATGGTAGACAAGTGCAATCACAAGTCATGACTGATGGAAACCTTTTTCTCTCGATTTTTTCGAGCATTTCTCTCAAACAATTAAAAGGGATAGCTTTAATTTCTGACAAGTTGAAGGAATCGCTCTTAATTATATATATTTTAAGGCCAATATGGTTGATTGATTTTTAACAGATTCAAGTAAAGTAATACAACTTTCGTTGACAAGTTCAACAAATAACGTTTATTTTATAATTTTGTCGACCATGTGATTCTCTTTACGAAGACTTTCGCTCGTTTAATATTCCGGGAAAAATACAGAAATTTTCGCTCAAAAAATTTCGAGCGGGTTTGTAATTACGAACGGCACACGTATACATGTGTCTCGCAGTTAAATATCAATTAATAGAACCGTGGATGATAATAATATCATTGCATGCGACGTTTCATGCCGCGGATATTGACAGATAGTTGATCACCTGGCCTTTCGTACCGCGCATTGCAAGCAAAGCTCCCTATAACGTGGAATATACGTGAGCTCTTGCATATTTGCAGATAGAGACTGATAGATAAGTCGCCTTTATATCGTCCATTGTGACGGAAAACGGGGAGAGTATGTCAGAAGAGAAATTCCTCGTCGACCGACCACAGAAAGCTTGCAATTTACGCTTAATAGAAAATTAGAATTATGTGTCCCCTTTCTTATATATGTGTGTGTATCTATATAATTGATTGCGAGGATCGATTTTTGATATCTGATATAATATTGCACTGATATTTATTTTACATTAATGTGTAATCTGTCAGAGCGAAAAAATGCAGTTAAGTAAGAGCGCGTTATGTTTTCTCGATGAATCTCCCTTTATTTTCACGATTACATTGCAAAAATCTCTCAAAGTCGTAGAATAAAATCTGCAGCTAGACAGACATTCGGTAAGTCCGAGAGACGCTCTTTGGTGATTGCGATCGCGTAACAGCCATGGTAGTTGTACTAGCCAACATTTGAAATGCGATAAGCAACCATGTAATTGCTACGTGATTTAGTATTGCTTTTGCCAAGAGAGCGAAAAGTTTATCTGGAACATAGAAACAACGCATTTGGCACACGATTTCCGTTTAAGTGCGTCCGACTAAATATCATCGTTCTTAACGTCAACCGATAACAGATGATAATCCTTCGCTTGTGAAGAGGAGTATAAAGAAAACATTATTTTAGGACACGGAACAGATAACAAAGGAGAGAGATTTGCCAGAAATCCTGCCCCCAGGGATCTTGCGTTTATTTTTAGTCCAGTCATCATGTAAGAAGATGCCATAAAAAGAATATCCCAAAGTAACCGGCATTATGCCTTCAACGCATACAAAATTGTCGCGAGAAATAGCATTTATTATATTATATCGATGTTAAATAACTTACGCTTTTTTTTTCTACACAAGAAACTTAATTAAGAGCTACATTGTATCGAATTGACGAAACTGTCTTAAACCGTACTTTCGCGCAGTATCAGGAAAAGTTTCAATGAACGTCAAGCTACGTCCTAGAATATCTCATCGCGAGACGGTAATTTTGAGTTAGAGGCGAGAGCGTTTTATTAAATATCTAACGGAACGAGGATCTCATAACGTCTCTGTGTCACGAGATACAATATTCAGACGCTATAATACTCCTCTTCCTGCAGCAAAGGATTACGATAGTGCCTCCCCGAGCCCTCCCTCCCACCTCCTCTCCATCTCATTTTATGCATTATGTATCGCCTTATCAGCTTAATGGCGACCCCCGTCACGAACTGTCAATTCAAAATCAAACCTCAGTAAACTATTTTAGTAGCGGGCCGAGGGAGCGAACACGTCACCCTCGAGCGACGACCAGCCACAGTCGATAATCTAGCTGAAGGTAAAATAGGAGAGAGCAATCACCCTGCTCTCTTGGTTTCCTTTAACCGACCGAGTGCCAACCGGCGCGCGAGCTTGCACCCCTTTTATTACAACTTACCAAGCGCTTGCAGCTTTCTTGTTATCATGAGCTTTCGAGAGATGACTTCGTACTACTTTCGTCCGATTGAGCTTTCATAGGCCTGTTTCTACCACTTACACCCCACTTTACTCTACTGTTATTCTACTTATATACTATTACTACCTACTATACTTGTACTACTTATACTACTTTTATTACTTATACTGCGTTGACTTACAATATGCTAGCATTGAACTCCACGTGAAAGAGTGCTATCATTTTATACCTTTGATTATTATCAGACGAGCACTGTAGCCTCGCTCGATCAGCCATTTTGTACTCGCAAACCCGAGGACTCGTAAATGTCCGTCTAGATGTCCTCAATTGTACTCTGTCTAAAAAGTAATTCATTTTCTTCATGAACCAACGCATCAGTCTAATTTAAGCTTCATTAAGTCTAACCGAGAAAAAATTTTTTTAGATTGTTTTTGTTTTAATTATAATATTATATAAAAATTTTGTCATATTTTTCCACGTGTGAAAAACATGACATTAGGCTTTCTAAAAATATAATACGTTATTTAGACAAAGGTACGACGAATATTTGGCATTTGTTTCGTACCTTATAAATATTTTCGTTCAAATCATGTCATGGATTTATTCTTGTCTTGATCTTCGTTCTCCGAGACGGATTCTTCGATCACGTGACTCGGCGAGAACAAAGAACTTGCTTTGAGCACATTTTGGCTGACCGAGGGTTTTGCGAGAATTCAATTCTTAGTTACGCTTCTCTTTACAGCGGGACAAGAATGGCTGACCTTTCACGGCTTCTTTTACTTCAACACATACGCAAATATCACGGTGCATCCGGGTACACGCCCGGAGCATCATTACGTACCATTATACGTATCGGTCATATCGTGGAGCCACGTGTAATCATGAAAGTACGCGATCAACAATAACGGCCATATATCATTGTATAAATCATCATAGCAAGACGATGATCCCCCCCATCGTATACATAAACAATATTACGTATAGTATTCAACGTTAACATTTAATTGAAAAAAACATCGTCACTCTATTTACGATCGACTTTTTTTACGAACAACAATAAAACGATCTTTCTTTCACAGGTATGCAGCTTCTAGTGCGGATTAACTGACTCGTTTTACTAACACACTCTTGAACGCTTCTAGATCGAGAGATATAGGCTCGGTTATTTATTTATTTTTCGAGTTGCTCGTAAACATCGAAGCGATTATCAGTACTTTGATTAATCTTGTTATTTGCACGTTATATTTTATAAAGGAAATAATATCTTTTTTAAATATTTATTTTTATTTGTGCATATTTTCTCTAACACGTTTTAATTTCACTTTTTATGTAATATTAAATTAAATTGAAATGTTACGGAGAGACAAAATTTGGTTTGGTATGCGTATGATCGCTTCGATGAATCGTTGTATTAGATTAGTAATGTATGCCGTAAATGGTGTCGTAAAAAACTCGACTGAAAGAATTATATCGACACATTATTACAGTACACACGTGCCTGTATTTGTACTAGATTATTACAGAGCTTCCTTCGTAATCATTATAAATATGTCGAGAGGCTGTCGATTATAGCGATGTATGTAAATACGATTGGTCTTGTAACTTAGCTCGTTAGAGTTGCTGTCCCCATTCTCTCGGTGGAAAAATAGAATTTTGATTCGATCGAGCCTGTATTTCGCACCTATAGATTTTGAATTAACAATACGTATAACGATGATATCACATTGTCACGCGATTGGTACGATCGTAAAGGGAAGACTCACGTGTATCGTTCACTTTTGTAGCAGCGAAACATTCGAAAATCTTTCCTGGCGTTGCTTCTGAAAGCGATCTGCAGAAATGGCGAATGTCCAAGGACCGGAAATCGCCATCTCTCAGTCAGATGGGACAGGATTCCATCAAACACAAAGTGAGTTTTGATTATTATGTGCAAAAATCTACATAAAAATCATCCACGTACTCGGTCTTTGCGTTTTGATTTAGACTATTTTTTAATTATTATTAGGAATTCGATTTAATTACATCATATTGTAGAGAATTGGATAATTTTTTGTAGATAGTATCTTATTAACACTTTACTATATATAATAAAATATGATTTTTATAACCTTACAGTTTTCCTTACAAGACAATGGATCTGCAAAGTATTTTCAAGGAGCGATGCACACACCGAATATGGGAGAAAAAGTCGCTCAGGTAAGTGAATCTTATATCGCAATTAAAAAGAGATATTAACAGAATCTCTGCGAGAAAAAATACACAGATAATCTCGAAAAACTGCAGCATTGAAAGGCACGAAACTATTCGAGAATTTGTTTCTTTAATAATGTTTATCTCTTAATTAATATATATATGCATAACATAAAATAGACTTGTATAAATTGATTTTATAGAAAGTTTGCAATCGTATCTCTCGTGTTTTCGCAAATGTTTCGAGAGACGATAGGCAATTAAAAGCATCATGGCAAAACTATTTGATGCTAATTGAGATTTGTGTAAAAGCGTTTTCCGGAAATGAAAATGTCAACCGCTCTCTCATGGGTCAAAAAGTTTCTTCGCTCACTTGAAGCACTTCGGTTTCGTGAATTAAGGATAGGGTTCGTCGAAAAATTAAATCTTATTTGCTGATACCGACCAACTGAAACGTGTTTTCATCACAAAATACATTTGCCAAAGTAACGAATTTCTGATGTTTCTGTGCTATTCCGAGACGATTTATGTTTCCTTGCATAAGAAATTAGTGTGATAAGGAATTAAATTTCGGCTCTCGCATTATTGATTGTCTTTAATTATTCAATACAACAAAATTTTAAGAATAATGTATCAAGAAATAATTACACACGACAATAGCAAAGATATAATAAAAGAGAGAGAGAGAGAGAGAGAAATTTAATATAGTAAGATTATAATTACTTATGATTTACTAAAAATTCCGTTTTTAAACAGTTACTTTTTTATTGAACAAACACTTTTATTAATTCTTGTATATCAAATAAATTTATATTCTCTTCATCGAGAGCGTAGGAGATAAAGAAAATTTCTTTCTTTTTACTTTTAATAAAAACATTATTTTTCCTCGTTTCATATTCAGTACGCGGTTATAGACAATGCATGAAAAATGCGACGGAACGTGCAGGCTTTTAAACATTTAGTAGAGCAGCAGAGTGCGGGGGTGGTCGGGGGGAGGAGATTGTTTGCACACGGATATACGTTTAACATACTGCCTTACATTAATACGGCCCTGACTGGCGCCAATCCGACTGTGCCGCAGTCTCGTAGGCGGAAATCTCCCGCAGCGTGGGATTCTCGCAAAATGACGTTGATTTTACAGCGATTACGCGATCGCTGCGAGATGGAAGGACCCGCGGATTCGTAAAAAGATCCCCGCGATGGATAAGAAAACCGACGGAATATTTTCAATTAATATTATCTGCCATGCGGGAAATTGAAAACTGTTCCGCATAATAAATCCGTCCTAGCATGTCACGCCAAAGTAATAACGCCGTGAAATATAAAAAAGCGACTCTGTTTATATCAATGTTCCTGATATCACGTCATTGAAAAAAATTCAAATTACATTCGTGACATCGCGCTTTCGCGAAACATGAAATAATCTGACAGAAGGTAATATAATTCGAAAGAGATATATGATTTTTTTTTTTTTTTGTACGTTGTATCGATCAATAAAAATTATTGTCATAAATAAAGGAAACGACATTTTATTTACGAAAAATAATTCTTTACCAGCACAGTTGATGATCCATTGTTCTTCAACGCTCTAGCATCTCTCAGAAATATCGGAGCAGAGTTTAGCGACAATAGCGCGAAGTCTTTCAGGTCAATTAAATTTTTTAGAATTTTATTGGAACTTTAATGAACATCCCCCCTATATAAGCGTCTAATTATTAATACACTAAAGCTTTACACTCCTATATGTATGAAACAATTAAAATTTAACGTTTATTTCCTCTAACATTGTAATTATCTCTTGAAACATATTGCAGCTTGCAATATGCAAATTCAATTTACTTAACAAAGTCGCGGAAAGCACACGCGCTTCCAAGAAGCTGTAACATACATATTTATCGTCTGTAGTTTTGGCATTGTTGTAACTTAGATCATTAGTTTGTGGTCCAGGCATGTTAATCCAAGCAATTATATAAATTATGAATATAATTGCTCCGACTTGGGAACAACATTTCAGCAGGCGTTACCATCATTTCGCGGCGAGGTTTAACGGGAGAGAAACTCTCTATCTCTATCTCTATCTCTTTCTCTCTCTCTCTCTCTCTCTCTCACACTGTGTTTATTTATATGAACCAAGAATGGCTGCCGAATTTCCGATATATCGATATCCGATACCGCAACATTGCAGGGATTTTTATCACGGATGTTGTTGCAATAATTATAACGGCATCAATAAATCAATTTTTCCAACATGGAAAAGCGCTGACAAGCTTTTTCTCTCAGCGGATTTGTTTAAAAGCTCTACAAAAGAACCACATTCCTTTTACCTGTTTTGCAGAAGCGCAATTAAAAATGCGTTGCGTTTAACGTCACGATGGAAGTTAGTTACGTCCATAAATATCGTTTTAAAAATTTATTAATGAAAAAATACAAGATCTCAAATATGATAAAATCTCCGACGTAGCTGCGGTCGCTTTGAGTCATACGTGCATAAAAATTCATGAGATTCAAGACCCAAAATAGTATCAGCTGTTCTTAGCGAGCTCTTTCGCAAGATTTCGAGAATTTGTGTACTCAAGGAGGTAACAGCTGCGACGTAACATCAAGCAGCCAGTAATTAAATAGCATCAACGAATGGCTAACATTCCTCGCTTATTTCGTGGCAAATTCTCGATATCTCTCGCGGGCAATGAATTCCGATACTTACCGTTTTGATTCCAATCGGAATTGCATAATTGTGTCGGAAGACCGTTACGAATGGAGGCAAATGAGAGAACAGAAGTAACACGAGAGTGATTAATTAATAACGGTAATTAATGGCTCGAGACAGTGCGTTTTGTTCCTACGATAAATTTTTGTGCTATAAATTTGAGGTGGAGTGATCATAACGAATGAAATAGCAGTACTGTGCGGTAAATTCAGTCGTTCAAGTAATTGATTATCTTTTTAGTAGGAAACTACAGTAACGCGTGATTAATTAATCATCTTCTTGCGAAGATGTCATTAATCACACGAAAACAAGGATATTTTCTAGGATAGTCGTGTTTACAATTTTAAAAACAATAGATCAACTATCTTCAACTCATTTTTTCCATCAAAAGCAGATTCTATTAGCGATTTATCTGCGTAATTCACCGAGAATCTCGATGTTTCCTGGAATATTCAACCGCTCTGTGAATCCGGTCATCCGCTTGTTTACCGCGAAGTGAACAAGAATAGGATCGTGTCGAAAATATAGCATCCGGTCGCGCGAGAGTTTCCGGAAGAGATCGCACCGAAATAAAGATGATACCGGAAGTACGGAAGTGCACACACGTCGAACGATGCGTTACCGGAGAAGAGGCAAGTTCGCTGTGGCTGGCGGATTGCCTGCGGCGAAAGAGGACGAAGGAAGAGCGACTTATTGGGGCGCACGCGTATCGAAACGAGAGGGATGGACAAAAAGGGTTGCGAGAGAGGGTTGCGAGAAATTCGCGAGCTTCCCGTTATAGGGCGCTCCGATCAGTGTCGCAGTGTCTGCGCCTTGTTCCGCCCGTCAGGTAGCTTCGTCGTCACTCCGTCCACATCCTCGGCGAAGGTAGATCGCACATGCGAACGGTGATAAGACGTCCTACTTCCACATTCTCGGATTTCGTGGGGGGGGGAGAAAGGGGGAGAGAGAGATAGATAGATAGATAGAGAGAGAGAGAGAGTCAGTCCCCCGCGCGATCAATTCATTCAACGTCGCGCCCTCCGTGCTCGAGGTCCTCGAGACACGCGCGTTCTCCCTTCGTTTTTTCACTCAAGATTATGACAGAGGACCGAGTAGTACCGACCAGTGGTACCCACGCCGACTTAGCCGCGAGTGATCGGGATCGTTCACCATCGTTCGCGAACGACGGCGCTTAAAAGATCGTTTTCCCACGAGGGTACATCGTGCACTCCCGACACGTCGACGGTGATTTGCGAGAATCGCCGATGATCGCGAGGATCCACGTTTGAGGATCGCGAAAGTCGTAATCCGGGTAGATCCTCGCGATCTCTCGAGGCGACATACGAATCCGAGACTCGCGAGATAAGTCACGGTAAATTGCCGTGGAGCTTTTCGGAAGTCGAAGAGACGCGAGATCGCCGATCGATCGGCCCTGAAAGTCGGCGGGCGAACTGTAATACGATCGTGCGCCGACGAGGACGACGACGACGACGACGAGGACGAAGGGGTCGATCATCGATGACGGCAGTGAACGCCGAACCGCGAACGGTGTGAACGTGTGTTTTGAACGGAGTTCCTCTTCCAAGTACAAAATTAAAAAAAGTACAAATAAAAATATAAAATATTCGGCATGTGATAAACGGAGGAATTGCTGCGTTTATTGCATGCCATCATTAAAATAATGTACAGGTTGTTAAAGTGACTCGTGTATCTCACATATTAAAGACATCCATAAATACATTGTAATAAAAGAAAAAGAATTTTCTTCTAGAAAGAATATAAATTCTCGCAATATATACATATATATATATATATATATATATATATATATATATATACATATATATAT